TATTTCTAATTTGTAAATGTAATAAGCTGCTTGATGCCTTTTGAAAACAACAGATGTAAAAAGCATATTGTAGATTATTCTCTGGTTGTGCTTTGCTTCTCCCGGCCATTCTCAGAAGAATAACCTTTAGAGCTAGATATGATTTTTGTACAGATTTAAACAATTATTTCTGTAGTTTGCTGCTCTTTCAATGATTCAACAGATAGAAGCTGGAATCTAGAGCACAAATCAATGATGCTTTTTTTTCAGGAGAGAGGAATTTTAAGTAATAAAAGGATTTGAAGGAACTTATTTAGGACCTATATTCAAAAAGCACCCTCAAAAGTTTGGGTTAAACATCTATGATATAACCACATGATATCTACTTCTATGCTGAATTTTTTTTCTGATAATTTCATGAACATATCCTTCTTCCCCATGCACTTACATATAATATCTTAAAAGTATCTTTCCAGCTCAGTCTTATTTTCCAGTGCTATAAACTAAAAATAAAAATATAAACTAGAAGTATTGTAGTATTTCAGGGACACTGCTTTGTAAGTGCTAGACAGATTTCTTGCTCATGTTTTGCTTTATTTCTCCGTGGAGCAAGAAGTAGGAAAAGATGGGAACATGGAAGGAGTTATAGACTGAGGGTCTGAAAGAAGTCTCAGGGAAGTTTAGATAGACAAATGAAGATTGAAACTAATTTTTTTTGACTGTGTAATTTGATTCCCCAAATCTCCAATTTGCCACAGTGCAGCTCTTCTGTCCTCTGTGAAAGCATTATAAAATTTAAGATTTTCTGTTTGACATCTCTCATGAACACTAAATTTTATTAATTAACAGGGAAATGTCAAATTACACTGCATAGCTTTTTCTAACTACCAAGGTTTATTTTGACAATATTTAGCATATATAAGCCATTACCTGGAAGAATTACTGTAGATCTATTTATGCTTTTCTCCTGTTGCTGAGAAATGCAAATTTTATGAAAAGTTTTCAAATATGTTCTTTATGACTTCTTTTTCTCTATACCTCAGCTTACAATATGGTATGATAATTTGGAAATACTGTTTTTTTTTTCTTTTTTTACTTTTTTCCCCTTTAATCAAGTTTTTGAGTCCTATATATTATGTTAAAAAACAAAACAAAAGAACCTAAAGCAACCAAAATTTAAATTGGAAACTGTAAAGTTTCAAACGCTGGGAGACACATGCAGGGGATTCTAAAAGATTTAAAGAAACAGAAACTTTCATATTTAAACAATTTCCTATTAGCAAAAATCTCAGAAAACTTTGATTTTTTTAGGTTTTTATACCTTTTAAACCCTGTTGGAATAAGCTAGTTCATCTAAAACCATTAATAACACAAATAAATACAATAAATTAATAAAAAAATACTTCAGAAATAGAGTGGGTTTTGTAAGGATGTTGTACTATAAATATTGGTCAAGATCTGTGGATGTATAATTTGTTTATATTATTCTGGGTACCAGAGATGGTGGTATTCAGGCAAAGGTTTAAATAGGATCATTTTTAAGAAATTCTGTCCAACTTTAGTCTTAAGAAAAATTTTAAAATATATGCGTTTGCAAATCATATATGACTACAGAAAAATGCCTAGATTAAGTGCAGCTGCCAGTGAGAAGCTCTGAAATCATATCTATATTGTGGAGAATTGGTATCAGTGCTATTTCTTGAAGTAACTGTGTCTTCAGAGATCTACCAAAGAGGACCATGCCCCACAATGTTCCTGGCATGTGATGGATTTATACTTGTTGAGTATCCATAAGGGTGACATAGTGATGAATAGCTTTGGTGGTGTGGGATGTGTGTGTGATGAGAGGAACAAGGGAGCATGGATTGTTTTGTTTCTTTGGCCTTTCTTTGTCAAACTAAAGTTTGTTTATTTGGTTGGTTGGTTTTTGGTTTTTGTTTTTTTTTTTTCTTGTTTTTTTTTTTTTTTTTGGTTAGAATGCAAAGTCAACCTCAGAAGTTGGGAAATTACAGCTTTTTTCCCTTTATTCTTTTAATTCTCATTTGCCCTACTTTGGGATATAGGACATCAGGCAGACTTTGGATTAAATGATTACATACAGGCTTTTTTCCACAGGATCATTGCTTCATTCAGTTCCCAGGATAGATGACAGCATTCAATTAATTATCGGTGGTCAATAGTTTTTTCTAATTTGTTGAAAAAGTGGTTCTTTTGCATTCAAACCATGTCTTGCATATAGAATTTTTCATTTGCTCATCCACTTTCCTATGGCACTGGCCACTATATTAACTGAGTTCTCATGCATATTGCTGAGGGAAGACACTATTTTCCTAGGGGAACAGAGTTCCAGAAATGCTAGAGAACAAAACCATCTCTGATTTAGAGTTAAAATTTGAGGCATTTAAGTCTGGATTTTTCAGAGTATGCAATATTATCTAGAGTTTGTATGTTCTAAGAGTTGTTGATTTTGTCAATGTTTTTGACCTGGACAAGAAGGAAAAACTATTCAACACAAAAGCACAGCAGGCCACCAGCAAATCAGAACAAGCCTAAACTTCACTGAATTTGAGATGAGAAGCAGAGAAATGGAGAGTATGTTCCAAGAGAAATTTGGCTTAAGTACCACATTTTTCATCACAATGGAACAGGAAAAGGCAGAAGAAACAGATTTTCTTGAGTGGCATTACTTTTATTCTGAGAGTTCACACTTGTACTGCAGCCTCTTATTCACTTTGCCACTTCCAGCCAAAGAGAAACGAATCACAAAAGCAATTATTTTTTATTGTAAAACCTGATTCACTAAACTACAGATGCATACAACACACTCCGTTATGTAAAACAATAGGTTTAGTATCTGTGCTGCTTTTCTAACTTAGGATTTTGTTTGCACATAATGAATGTTTACAAATGGGTAATAGTTCTTACCACAGATGTAAAGTGAAGTATTTGAATCTACTAAAATAACTTTTCTCAGGCAGGGAGAGACCACCTAAGAATCTTGTTGTGAGAGACATTTTTTGTTTTCCCATTCCTGAGAGAAAAATTACTCTATCCATAAATGCTTTTTTTCCTGAATTCAACTTGTTTTTCCATTGTGCTTTTTAACCATTTTGATACTCCCTCTGTTGAGCATTCTGTTTCTTTTCAAAGTTAGACCCTTAGTGTTTCAAAGTTTGAATTCAGTATATTATGGTTTTACTGTCAGTTACTTGCTTGAAGTCCACAGCTTTTGCTGGTTACATTACACAATGGAAAACATAGAGGTTTCTGATGGGGTCTTCTGAGTCTCAGGCTCCTTTCATAGTCTTGTAGATGAAACAGTGACAACTTTTACTATTTAGTAATAATAGTTCCTGGACTGCAAAAATTCTACTGCTTGTAAACAACTTTTTTTCCTTTGGTCTTAAGGTGTCAGTCAACTGAGAGGGAAAGCATCTTTAGATTAAGAGGTTCTGCCTGATTCAAAGAGACAACAGAGATCATAAAGAAAAATTAACCAAAGAAGTTATTACATCTGTTAAAAACATGAGGAGGGAAGAGATCAAGAAATTTAAACTTATGTAACTTCTAGAAATCCTGTTAAACCATTTTTTTTTTCTCAAATATGGTTATGTTTCTCTGTTTTTATCTTAATTATTTTAAACTTGCCAGGTGGCATTGTAACTCCCCACCAGAAATCAATAGAAATGTGGTGTAAGGAAACTGTCCCCTCATGATTGTAAAGAATAACCATTTTCTTTTGACACCATGTTCTTAGGGCTATGAAAAGCTCTTGCTCTGCTCTTCTGCACTGTAGATGCATGCTCCAGAGAAGTCATTTTTGGGTTTGTCTCTATCTCATATTCCCCAAATAACATATTAGCAATACCAGCCTCATGCAATCACAAACATCCTCTGAAAACATTAGCAGAAATGTTAGTTGGAAACTGGGACAGGCTGGACAATGAAGAAAGTCATATAGATATGTTTTCTACTTTTTAGTTTTTCTAAGGAAAAGGTTGTGGTGGGGAACAGGAAGGCTGTTTGCTGTACTGAGTGCTGTTAGAAAGAAAAAAGTATACAAACTAAAATAAGAGCAATGGGTACAATTCATTGACCTATTTCAGTCAGAAATTGCTGCCACATGGACTCAAGACTTTCTAATGGCTTTTCACAATCAACCTCCAATTAGTATGGTGCCTGCAGTATTAATTTTGAAATGCTATATAATCTCTCAGCATCTGGAAATACCCACACTACATAATGTACCACCATAAACTATGTAAGTGTTGGAAAGGACTCTTCTATAAATTTTATCCAAGTGTAGATGACATTGTATTCATCCTTTTAAAATTGCTTTATCATTGTGGGCATTCTCATTCTTTGATAAATAATCAACAAATCTTGGTAACAACTTTAGCTAACAGATACTAAAATGGAATAAACCAAAATATTCATGAAAGTTTTTCTGAAACGTGACAGAACTATGTCATTACAGTGTTCTCCATAAATCTTTTTGTTAACCACTCTGTCTATATTTCAAATGGAATTCCATTTGCATACAAGTACTTGATCAGAACTTAAGGCTGAGTGCATATTTCTATAAAGATATTTTGAGAAAATTATTTCGATTTTAGAACTTTGCTAGTTTGTGGTTGTGCTGGGATAGGGAACCTCATTCCCAGCAGGAGACATCATGAAAGCAACTTTGTTAATATTTGTGAGGTGATGCCACTTGACAAATGTGGAATGATCAATGAAAAACTGCAAAATTTTCAAGCAGCTGTACTTAATGTTACGTCAAATTTATTTTATTATTTCAGTGTGAAAAATGGAGAAAAAAATCAAAGCATTTTATATGGTCACTTCCTAAAATAGCTTTGAATTTCCCATATACTTCTGTTTTAAAATGTCTGTCTTCCAGTCTTGTTTTGTCTTCTAGCTTTTATCCAAGACAGTATATTTGCCACAGATTCTCACTTTGGTTTGAGAGGGGGGAAATGTTTTTGTTTTAAATTGACCTGAAACTATTTTTTTTCATTTCAATCAGTGGCAAATTGAAAAGTCTATGCTCCACAGCATTTTCCTGGAGCAGAGTCTGTTAAGAACAGGTGGAAAAGGTATTCTCCAGCACACTTTATGTCATTTAGTTGTATCTGTAATTAAAGATTTATTAAAAATGTATGTCAATTTGCAAACTGCTAGTTTCTAAAGATTCTTTAGATCTTAGTGGCTGGAAAAAAGTTTTTTATGCATTTTGCAACATCCAGATATTTAACTTTTTAAAGTGTATATGTTAGACTTCATAAAGTATATATTGAGAGAGAGAAGGAGGATGTATATTTGAATTTATAGGATCATTAACTGAGCCCATAGCAGTTGCTTTATAACCCTTACAGCTGAGTTGTCTGAGAGAATGCTAATAGTTTCAGATTCTCAGCATATTTTTCTGATATTTATCTTAGAGATTTACTGAATTTGTAGCACAGAGAAGGAAAAAAATTCTTGAGATTTTCTGAAAAGATAGCTAGATAGTTACTGAAATAGGTAGCATGTAAATAGGCTTTTCTTTTCTATTTTTGAACAAAGTTTGTGTTACAGAAAATTATGACTGCTTGTGGATCTATTTCTTCATTCTTTACTCACTGAAGTGTAAGACGAAGGCAAAAGCCATGAAAGTATTTACATTGGCACATACACCAAGAATCAGGAGATGATTTTTATACATATATAGCATGCTTTTGTTGATGATGTTTTGTGAAAAGGTTCACTACACATCCATAAAAAATTCTGTCATCAAACATAAGAACATATGAAGAGATTAATAATTTTATGTTAGATATTTTCCCATTTTTTTTATGGAAACTTTTTGGAGGGATCGTCTTGATAGACAGAGACTGAACTGTCCAGGAACACTTCTAAATGTTCATGCTTTGCAAAGCAATTGTTCTGGACAAGGTTATTTCGAACCTCTGCTTTAGCTATTGCAATTAGACTGTCTGTATTGTTCATATTTTCATGTGGCCCCAGGAGTGGAGGAGAAGAAGGGGAGGGAAGGAGTGAGCTGCTGTGTGGTTCTAAATTACTGGCAGAATGGGGAGGAGGATCACAAGAACGTAAACCCCACGGGTTCGGATAAGAACAGTCCAATAACTAAGGTGTAATATAAAACTACTACTACTACCACCACCAATAATGATGATAAGGGAAATAACAAGGGGAGAGAATATGAAACTAAAAAGGGAAGGGGAAAAAAATCCCAAACAATAAACAGCAGTGTTGAACAATACAATTGCTTTACCACCCACCAACCTATACCCAGCCTAACCCAAATAGCATTCTGGGCTTTCTGGGTGACTCCTGTCAGTTTATATACTGGGCATGACTTGCTGTGTTATGGAATTCCCCTTTGGTTAGTTTGGGTCAGGTGTCTTGTCTCTGCTCCCTCCCAGCTTCTTGTACCAATCCTCACTGGCAGAGCTTGACACTGAGAAGTCCTTGATCAGAGTAAGCATTCTTCATTCATTCAAAACACCGGCTGTGTGGTTCTGAGTTACTGGCTGGGCTTAAACCATGACACTTTGCGATAACTAAAACATTGGTGTGTTATCAGCATTGTTCTCAGACTAAAGCCAAAACACAGCACTGCGTCAGCTACTAGGAAGGAGAAAAAGTCCTGTTACAGATGAACCCAGGACACCCTTCATACTCCTGTCAAGAAGTCCAAATGTGCAAGTTACACACTTGAGGATTTATAGGTCAGACAATGACAAACAAGGAAAAAGGCTTTTTATTTTGTCAGACATTTTGGCTGTCCTTAGATCATGCTTTAGTATTAGTCACAGCATTTCACAGGTCTCTGGTATATTGCTTCAGTAAGGGAAGCAAGAATTTGTGCAGTTCTACATAATTTGTTGCTGATTTGTAGATTCATGTACACACAGAACTCCTAATTCATCGTGGATTGGTAGTAAAGACCTCAATTTCCAAATGATCTTCAACATTTTGGAACTGGTGGCTTGTTCAGAACATTTTCCAGACATTCATCAGACAGGAAAATACATCAAATAGTAAGTTGTTCTCTTTAGATTACCAATATAAAAAACACAGAGATGGCTGCAATTTTCCACTCTCTTAAATGCATTTCTTTACACTCTTTTTTATTATCTCCTTCAGAGGACTTGACAGACAGAAAAAGAAATATCTCAATAAAAACTACCAGAAACGTCTAAGGAAAGAACTTTTGAGAAATATTTATGTGGTGAAATTTTGTCCAGACTCTTCTCCTAACCATGACAAACACGCATCTTGTGAAGGTACTTTTCCTTTTATAGAAGTTGATAGCATTTGACTTGCCTTTATGTAAATATTAAAGATAGGGGGGAAAGTCGCATATTGATTAAAAAGAAAGAAAAAGAGAATAGTAATCATTTCATCAAATACCTTTTCTTCTTAAGGTTCCTAGCTCTTTCTACAATGAAAAATAAAAAGAATTGAACATTAAAAAAGTGTTAAATCATTACCTTTTTGCTGTAAATATATAGGTAATTTTAAAAGCAAATTCTCATATAATTGAAGGTGGGCTAGTTTAAAAGATTTTATTTACAGAAGTAGGTGCATTCCAATTTCTCTTCTAAATGTACCTATTGATCTACCATTCTGTTTTCTTATTCCACAACAGCTGGAAATTTTCCCAGCTATCAGGAGCTGAATAACTTATCAGGACAGCTGCAATCAACATATAATCAGTTTTAAAGAAAACATGACAAGGATGGATAAAAACAGTAAAAGGCTATTTTAAATGGCACAGTTTAATGCTAATGACTGATGTTACTCAGCTACAAATTACTCTTCAAATTTAAAGTAATTCCTTTTTTTTTTCAAAGAGTTTGATGTAGCATGTTTCAGAACTGACAAGCAGTTTCTTCCTTACATGACAGATTTCATCATTTACACAAATGAGATATGTAGGAATTGGTGTTGTACTGCTAACAAAGCAGCTATACAGTTTTGAAAAACAGTAAGACGATCTTTAGTAGGATTTTTCCTTTTTTTCTTTTTTTTTCAAAAGGAATATAAGAATACATAATCACATTACGAGAATAAGTAACACTAAAGGAAATCAAAGACTGTATGTTGTATGCAATGTGTTTGGGTAGCTGAGACTTGCATGTTAGAAGACCAGTGTGGTCCCTCCTGGGTATGTTTTGGTTTCAAAATAATTTTCTCTGTCAAATAATTAATATGTGCTGGCAAGACTAAGTTCAGCACATGCAGCATCACATGTGTTGTAATTAATTGGGATGAGAAGGTAATATGGACTGAAAATAATCAATTTGAGCTGCCAAAGCTGATCACTTAATCCAAGTGAAAAAACCACAAGCAGCTTTCTTCCATAGCTTTCATACACACAGGTTTTCCTGCTTCTGTGGTCTCTTTATGTTTCAGCTACCAGCAGCCAAGTTTCATTGATGTGAATATTTTTGAACATCTATTTGAATTTCCTGAGCAAACTTGGTAGAAGAAACACTAAAATTAATTGGAAGCAAATGATAATGTTGGACATACTAGATCAAGTTAAATCTAGGTAAATTAGATAAAATTAAAGAATATTTGGAATATTTAACATTGAAATTTGGGTGCTATCAAAAAGCTGTTTGCAACTGATCCTTGTTTACAAGAAAAAAAATCCTTAGTCATTGCAAGCTGTGGAATGACAAAACATAAAGTACATCTATTCAGATTAACTTGCAAGGATAACACAAAAACAATAGCAAAACCTTTCAATTTATACCCTTTATACCCTTTCCTGTCCCAGTTAAATAATCATAGAATCATAGAATCGTGGAATCACAGAATCATAGAATGGTTTGGGTTTGAAAGGACCTTAAAGATAATCTGGTTCCAACACCCCTGCCGCAGGCAGGCACACCTTCAACTAGACCAGGTTACTCAAAGCCCCATCCAGCCTGACCTTGAACACATTAAGGGATGGAGCATCCACAAGTTCTATGGGCAACTTCTAGTGTCTCACCACCCTTACAGTAAAGAATTTCTTCACAACATGTAATCTAAATCTACCGTCTTATTCTCCTTTGTCCTACTTCCTCTTCTAAAAATTTCCTCTCAGGCATTCTTGTAGTCCCCCTCTAGGTACTGGAAGGCTGCTATAAGGTCTCCCTGGAGCTTTTTCTTCTCCAGGCTGAACAAGCCCACCTCTTTCAGCCTGTCTTCATAGGAGAGGTGCTTCAGCACTCCAAACATCTTCATGGCCTTCCTCTGGACTTGTTCCAACACTTCCACATCCTTCTTATGTTGGGGGCCCTAGGGCTGAACACGGTACTACAGGTGGGGCTTCATGAAAGCATAGTAAGGGAGGAAAATCATCTCTCTCGACCTGCTGATCACGATACTTTTGATGCAGCCCGGCATACAACTGGCTTTCTTGGCTGCAAGCACACACTGCTTATATTGAGCTTCTCCTTGATCAACACCCCTCAAGATTTTCTGCTCAAGGCTACTCTCAATCCACTTTCTGCCCAGATTGTATTTGTGCTTGATTAGTGAAACCTATGCTGAGGTTTAAAGCAGATTTACCTTAGTAATAAATCCTTCTAATAATATTATCCTTTAGAGCAGAAGTTAGATATTATGACAGCAAGAGCTATAGAAAAATCGTTACAGGGTGTAAAATTTTAAGGATAAATTATTCATTGTAAATTATTTGTTCTGACCGGTTTTTACTCCACTCTCATCAGATGCTTTACCCCTACATGATGATGTCAGAGATAGGATATAATCAATAGAATAAAGTATCTAAATAAAATATAGAATAAAATTATGCTCTTCATATGGAGGTTTCTCTAGACACAAATTTTTTCACTCTCCTGTGGTACAGGCAAGATAATAGGAAGTATATTTATGTTAAATATTCTGGCAGGGGGGTTGGAACTAGATAATCTTAAGGTCCTTTCCAACCCTAACGATTCTATGATTCTATGATTCTATGATTTTAATGATTTCTACATAAGTTTTTAAAAAAATATTTGAAGGCTTTTATTTTTTGACCCCAAAATAAATCATAGCCCATTTTTTATTTTGAAAATTTAGGGGAAATATT